GTAGTAGTAGGTAGTAGTAGTAGTAGTAGTAGTAGAGAGAGAGAGAGAGAGAGAGAGAGAGCGCACAACTGAGTGATGTGGCAGGTTGTGGCGTTGTCGTAGGAGCAATCGCATTTGACGGCAGGATTGAAGGCGGTGCTATCGAAACTGGTGGAGTCGATGGCGGCGCCGCTGCAGGGCTCGCCGCTGATGTTCCACGCCGGCGACGACGTCGCCGAAGCCGTCCTCCCCCACCGCCCCAGGATCACGTTCAGTGCCGCCACTGCAACGCCGGAAACAGCACATGGTGTTCACGTCAACAACGAACTCCTCGATCAAATGCTACCATGTATGTTATCACCATCATCATATCACACGCTACCAACCTAATGCATGCATGTATGAATGAGTTCGTGTGGTTTGACCGTGAGAAACTGGCAAGTCAGCATCTTTGAATGATTTAGTCTTTGACTTGACAAAATTGAATGTCCTATAAGATTAGTCGTATCCCTTACAAAATTCAATAACACACATATATCATCGTCGTTAATCTCTATACCATCGATCGTCGCCAACTATAGCAATAGTGAAAATTCGAGTGGCATTAATATCCTTAAAAAAAATATTATATATTCTCTTTTAAATTAGTAATTCAAATAATTGATAAGGTATAATTTAGATATTAAAATAAAAGTCTCTTTTTATTTTTACCAAAAGATATTTCTATTTGATTTTTAATGTGAAAAAAATTAAAATTTCCCATCAATTGAGAAAAAAGGATCTCGAAAATTGTTTAAGATGGACATGTTGTTCGAAATTAAAAAGTAAGGCAAACATAGAACGGATGTATTGGGAAAATGACATAAATAAGAAAATAAAAGATTGAAATAATCCATAGCTGATTTGATGAGTAAAAATGATGAACAATAGATTCACGGATTGCCACAAACAACTTAGGAAAATTGTGGCCTAAGATGCAATCCGGTGTGAATTCAAAACCTATATCATCTAATGATGTTCTAAAAGTCCTATATCATCTAAACTTGTATGAATTCAAAACCTCTTTGATAACTATGAAAAGTCAAGTAATAAGAAATATTTCTACAATAATTAAATAAAAATGAGTCTCAAGTAGCAGAAAATCTTCTTCTTTTTTTTTTTTTTTGGTACCTACATCCAAACAGTGTAACCAGGATATATGATATGAGGACCTCAAATCACCATCATATCTATATGAGCTCTTTCTAACTATTTTATAGGTTGTGTTGGTGTTTTTTCTTATGGTTTTAAGTGGATTTCATGGACTTTGATGGCTTCAGTGAACTGTTTGAGTGCTTTTTTATCAAATAAATAAAAGAACTTGCAAAAACTCGGGAGAAGAAACAAATATGGAAAGAAACAAAATTGAGTACTATATCGAAGAAAGAAGAACAAAGCATGGAAACAATCATGAGATAAAAAAAGGTTATACTGAATTGTGTGTGTTTGTCGAAGAAAGATATGAATACTAGGAGGAGAGGAGGAGGAGAAGAAGAACAAAAACCATGGAAACTTGCAGAAGATAAAAGATAAGGTTTGAGTGCCTTATCAAAGAAAAAGAGGAGAAGATATGGAGCAAGCAGAAGAAAAAAAGATTATAGTGAGACAACGGCATGCCTTCAGATAGAGGAGTAGTAGCTTGAGCTCCGGATCTTCCGAAAGCGAGGAACAGGCATGGTAGGAAGCAGATCACAAGAGCTACCGAATCAAACTTGGATGGATTCTTTGGCTGCAACATCTCTGATATGGCGCAAGGGTTTCAAGATTTCTGAAGCTCCAGAGTGGTCTGTAACAATGGCGGTGGCTTTCCCCACAATTTAAAGGTGTGGAGGTGGGATCGCATGGGACATGTTTGACAGGAAAAACTAAAACGTGGCTGTTCTTTGTAGACTTTTCGCATGCTCTGTTCACAATTGGCTACTCCACCTAGTGTGGAGATTGTTTATGCTCCTAAATTTCATGCGCGCACTTCTTCCTCTCATAAAAACCCTTTTACTGCAAATTAAGTGTTTGCTGAGAAAATTTTACCAGTCAGAATCATTCAAATCAAGTCTGATGCTTAATCTCCAAGGTTGATCCTTTTTCATTTTCAATCCAACTCCATCCATGGGCCTCTTTTTTTAATACTATTTATTTTACTTCTCCATATTGTCCACTTTGAATAATTTTGTCATTGCAGGTAACACATCAAATCAAATAAACATGGACATTTCCTACCAGGACTATATGATGTGAAAATAAAAGTGACAAGCTTAGAAAAATTTCTCTGTGGGAGAAGCTTGCTTGACTTTTCTCTCAAGACCTACTTCAAGAGGGTTGTATTGTTTTATAGACATTTGTGTCTGCCAGTCCTGGTGAAGTCAACCAATGACTTCCAGACCTCATCACTGAAACACAAAAAATAATAATAATAAATTAAATGGTGATTCATTTGTTCTTGGACTGTGGAATTTGGCGTAGATCTATGCTTCAACAGCTATCTCTGATGCATGCAATGACAGCAACTGGACTCAAAGAAACAAATTAACGTTAGTGTCTATGTATTTTCTAAGTACCTACTACTTTTATCTTATACAAGAGTCAAGAGTCGAGATTATGAAGTGACATATATGATTCACAGTATTAAAACATTTATAAATTAACCTAGAAACACATACACACACACACAAAAAGATAATCCAATTCACAATAATCAATATTCACAGCTTTATCTCTACAAATAGGAAGATATTGAGAATTACAAGGGTCTATCAAAAACCAGGTAGAAGGTCTGATGATGTAGGTGGCAGATACCTGCTCATCTTTAATTCTAAACATGCTTTGCCATTTGGAGATCTAAAGCATCACCAAGCATCCTTTGACAGCAATGGAGCTTGCATCATTATTCATGGAAGCTGCATCAATTCCTCGGAAAGCAATCTGCTTGACTACCCAGCAACATGCTTGGAATTGTTAATTGCTTGTGGATGTGCTCAAATATTATCCGAGATTTGCATGAAAGAAGCAATCTTTTGTCTGTTGAAGATGCAGTTCATCTTCCTGTATTGCTCAGACCAAATGCGTAGCACTTTCCTAAATAAATACTTTTGGATGATTTTTAGCAGAGGATGAAGTGGAAATCTGGTGGGCATGAGTTCTCAAAGGTGATGGTGAGTAACAGTGATGAAGCCTTATTTTTTTCAAGATGCCATGATGAAGAACACCAATTGCAGATAAAAATTTGTATACATAAATTGGAAATTTGTACATTCATTTATCTAATAATATATCAGTTAATATAATTTCTAAATATTTTGCCTCCATTATCGATTTGAAGCCAATCTGAGTGAAGCCTCAAACTTTGACTTTCTTTTATTGTGGCAAAAGTATTTATTTGTTTAAGTAACATGCAACATTTAATTATTTGGCACCCCATTAGGCTAAAAGAATTTTATTTTGGATTAGCATGCTGAAAGAACATATCTTTTAGTTTCCTTTCGAGGGATTACGGAATTATAATGCTAAAGATGATGACATAAACTCTGTACTGCATGAGTGAGGAACACTGTCTCGTTCCAAATTACTTGTTGACCAAGTTTCTTAAGAGGAAAAATAAAAATAAGAAAAAGGGCCATTCATCAAGTTTCTAATCTCCAACATGGTTGAGAAAGGAAAGAACAATTCGGATCTGTGTAATCCGTACGTGTAGTTGAATGGTCAAAGTGTCTGACGATTTGATAGCCTTTATTTTCTCATTTATTGTGAAATGGAGTCAAGTCAATACATTATATATATATATATATATATATATATAATGGATTGACTTGACTCCATTTCACAATATGTGAGAAAACAAAGGTTATCTGTGTGTAATTTTTTGTTGTTCAGTTTAATTCATTTTTTCGAATTTTGACGGATGTTTGTGATTAAAATATGATGTGTGTGGATTTGGAAGTCCGATCAGGATGCTTGATTTGGGTTGAATCTTTGGAGGTCACAAAAATTATAGTGGTGAATATTACAATATGATTATAGCCATTTAACAATTTGGCAAGTGTCGGCTTGAATCTTTTGAGCATTTCCTTCCAGAGCAGTGGACCTTTCATTGATAGCTCTAACCACCAACTGATCTTGAAAGCCAGAAGAAGACTGCAATGATTAAAGATCAAGATGAGCCTTAGGCCAATCAATCACAGATGTGGTGTTTGATCTCGAAGATGTATTTTTTAGGAAAGCAGATACCTTGGTTGCTTCTATTAATATTAAGATCAATGAGATTGAAACAAAGATCAAGAATTTAAATAAAGGAAGCATGAGGTTTTGGATTAACCCTCATGATGATCAAAGACCTGGCAGGCAGCTGATCCAGAGGCACATCAATTTGATGAAACACTAGTAGTTGACCAATGTGATGAAGATTTGGTGGGGAGGAATATGATAATGATCTGGCTCTCTTGCACTCTGATTTCCAGTACAATCCTACATAAAGCATCTTTTAGGGTTTTCCTGATCAATGGCACTCTCCATTGTGCATGTAGGAAGAGGTAAGCTTTGTTTTAGAAACTAGAAAACATGCACTTCGTGAGGACCAATTAATCTCACAATCTGAAGTAGTAAATTTGACAAGCCTGTGACACAGAATCAAGAATATAAACAGCAACACCAACCAACAACAGTGATTCAACCATTTAACAACATTTTCGAACAACACTTGATAAATATATTCAAGCAGCATAACCCAATCACGTCGAGCATTAGAGTCTGAAGATCTCCAACCCGATTATCCAGAAGGCATAAATAGCTAATTCATATGTCTGCAGAAGTTTCATGACATAGAAAGTCTCTGGTATTAATGTGCTCGATCTCTGAGAATTTCAAGGTCCAGCTCTGAAGGATCAGTAGCCTGAATCTCATAGTGAACTCCATCCATCTCCCTCCTGAACCGATCTTTAGAAGTTGCATACAACATTTTAGCTCGGATTCGGGACACAGAAGGGGACCTGATGGCAGGAATAACAAGAGAAAAGACAACAATTATACCCTTTAATTGAAGTGCAAGAAGATGTACAGGAATGGAAAATAACAATAGCAAATGTAACACAAGATAGAAGTACTAAAATTTCAGATAAATGAAGCAACTGCTTCAGCAGCAGAAGAAGATATGATAAGGAAGCAACATCATAACATTAAAAAAATCAAGTTAGCATAGTGCAACTTCCTAGGCACAATAATGATACTTCATATGCCAGCAAAGATGCATAAAGCAAGAACAATAATTATACTTCTAACAGTGGTACAGACTCACAATCAGTTGTTCTGGCAACTGGTAATCATGTTAACAAGAAAAGTCCAATTCTGGGAAATGCAAAAATAAATATCACAATAGATTAATGGCAACAATAGCTTCATGGTTATCATTTGAATTTAACCCAAATGATGAAGATATTTCAGTTCAATCCTCTCATTGCATGGGTGATTAATCAATAGGGAATCTCAAGACTAAATATATCTTAGAAAGACATCATTATAACTGAAACTTATATGATGGGATAATTATCTATTGTAAATTAAGTAATCAGCTATATAACTAGTGATTTCTGCTTTTACTATTAAGATCTGTAAAAACAACTATGTGCAGTGATACAAGGTTAGCTTTATTAAAATTTTACCAAATGATGTATCTTAATTAAACTCGAGAGAGATGTTTTCTTGTATCATGGTCTTCGATTACTGGTCAATGAAAGATACTCGAATTATAAAGAGTGTCAACCTAAAGCAACAAAGTCAAAAAGTCCAGAGACAACTGATATGGACAAAAATGGCAGTGTGACACGCCATCCCCCTGAGCAACACACTGCCCGAGGCTCGCCATACCCTGCAGCAGCTCGGCCTCCCACGCAACCAAAGGTACAGTCCTGCCTTGCATCAGGTAACCTCAAACCTCCTCTATAAATACCCCCGAGCCCTTGGCAAAGGGGGGGGATCACATACTCAACAGA